TGATGAACCAGCTGTAAAATTACAACTACCACATAAGCATGACATCATCACACTTCTTGGTGTCGGAGGCCATTGGGTTACAACAGAAGAAAACCTTCAGGTATTATCAGAAATAATAAAGCCTTGCTATTACATCAAGGGAATGTCATTAGCAAAGAACAGTTATAAGTTCTGTTTAAAGGAATGTAGCGTCTTTTCTATGTTAAGTACATACTGGTCAAATTCTATTGGGCAGGGAAGTCCATTCAGTTAGAATGAGTTATAATTGTATTTAGTTCACTGTTCACAGTGGCCTCTGGATTTTTAACTGTATTTCAAATTATACTTTTATCTGTGGATGCACATATACATGCAAGGGAGACCAGAGATGAATGAATCTCCCTCTGTCATCCTCCACCTTATCTTCTGAAAGAGGATCTCTCATTGTGCCTGGAGCTTGCCAGTTTGGCTAGACTGGCTGGAATCAAGACCCAAATATTCTCCTGTCTCTGCGTCTCCAGCAGTGAGATTACAGATGCGCACTGTTGCATGGTCTTTTGCATATTTAGTGGTATTCAAACTCGGGTCCCTGTGTTTGTGCAGCAAGCACATTGGTAACTTGAGCCATCTCTGGGGCCCTAAAAATTTGGGTAACTTAGTAATTGTAATATTTATAAATAATATCATAATTTAATAACCCAAATTGACATTACTGTGTATGTATAGATGAATCACCTCCCAAGCTTATATTTTTAACAGACTTCTAATTGAGTATATGTATCATATTTAATATACAAATATATAATCTAACATACCAGTCTAGACTTTCCAGCATACAAAGGTGACTGACAGTAGCCAGAAGCCACACCATTTATCCCCGGGGTTCCAAATGGCCCTGCGTCTATCCTGTCCTAGCTGTTTCGTCATGGCATAGGAAGGAAATGTAACAGCTAATAAACGGCTCGTAAAGCTTGTAGCTGAGTTTGTGGCTTCTACAGTGTTTGATTTGCATTAAAAGTTTTCTGGTGTGAGCACTTTTATACTCTTCAACTTAGTAGTTGTTTTGTCTTTGTTTCCTCTGTCAAAGCTGGATCCTCCAGATAGCCATTGCCTTTTCCTCAAGGGAGCAACGGTGGCTTTCCTTAATGATGAAGTTTGGAATTTGTCAAATGTACAACAGGGAAAATATCTTTATATCCTTTTTCCTACTGATTTGAATTGCTGGCTTGGACTCTACACATAAACTCTTCCACTGCGACAGTGAGATTATAGCTAGCTGTGGTCTTCCTGGAGCGCATCTGACAGAGTGACAGGTACCTACATTTATTGAAGCATTAAGTCTATGAGGTCTGAGTAAATAAGCTCCATTTCACAGATGGAAAGACTGTGAGAAGGGTACATGTAGCAAGAGACAGAATCACAATCACACCCCAGGGTCTAACTCCTTCTGAATGGGAGGTAATGAGACAGGCAGAATATTTTCTTTTGTTTTAACCTGGCATTGTATGACACCTTAAGAGGTAGCAAACTTAACTCCTATTATAGTTGAATTTTACAAATACAAGTACTGGAAAATTAATTTTTTAGATTTTTTTTCTTTTGCCTAATGTGTATATGTCTGTATATGAGTCAATGCCTGCATGTTGTCTGTGCATCTGGTGCCCAAGGAGACCAGGGTGTCAGGTCCCCTGAAATTCAAGTTACAGACATTTGTGAGTTGCCATGTGAATGCTGGGAACTGAACCTGGGTCCTCTACAAACACAGCAAGTGATCTTACTAATGAGCCATCTCTCTAGAGTTTTCTTATTTCTTTTTAGTTTTTCTTCATATGGATATTATTTTGATTGCTGGTTGCATAGTATATTAGTGACTTTTCTATTGCTATGAATAAACACCATGATCAAAAGCAACTTATAAAAGGAAGGGCTTGTTTTGGCTTATGGTTCCAGGGAGAGTCCAAGAGAGCAGGAAGCAGGGATGAGGCCGTAAAACCATCAAAGCCCACCCCCCTCAAAGTACTTCCAACTAAAGGTTCCATAACTTCCAGAACACAACCAACTAGGCGCCAAGTACCAATGGGAGACATTTTTCATTCAAACTACCATAAATAGATACGTATTAATTAGCTTTTCTCCATACTTTTTGAAACAAATTTTGAAATAAATTTATGCAAACAAGTTTGACCTGATATCAACAAATTAACTGGTATATGTTTACCTCCTGTAAGAGATGTAAGTGCTGAATACCACGCATAATGCAAGAATGAAAGCCGTGTATTACTCCATTAACGGTCCCTGGAGGACAGATGGTCTCGGTCACTGCTTGCCGCCATTTGCTGCTCTCAACACTCCTGTAACACCTCACATCTCTGAGATCTTTCCTTTGTTTTAGAAGTGATTGACAGTTTCTAGTTGCTGTAATACCACTTTGAATTTCAAAGTACAGAACTTTTTTTAAAAAAAGAAAAATAAAAGTGATGAGGCCAGCATCCTGTGTTTACTGGATGACTTACTTAGTCCCCTCTCTAATAGCTGCCACCTTAACAACCCTCCAGTTACGCATCTTAAGAGACGTGATGGAGAAGTTATCGGCCGGTATTTTCAGGTATGCAAAAAAAAAAAAAAGACCTAAATCATTGTTCTTTTCAGTTCTCAAGAAGTAGCTGTCTGTTTTATTCCAGTTCTGCGGTGCCTAGTGCCGCTGTTCTGATTCACGTTAGATAAACAGCTGCTCTTTCACACTGAGCAGAGTGTCTGGTTGTGCACCATTGTTCCTGCGGATTTCTATCTTGTGCCTCCCCCCCCCCCGCAGTTCTAGTCTGTATCTCCCATTTCCCTTTCCTTCAACTCTCTTGCCAGACAAATTGAAATCATTCCTGGCTTGACAAGTGGAAAAGGTACCATGATTGTTCAAATTGGGTTTGGTGTCACTTTAATGTAAAGAGATAAAGTAGATTGTTTCTCTTTCCAAACTTAAATGTTTTAACCCAGTGTTGTGGAGCATACCTGTATTCACAGCCCTGGAGGGCTAAGGCAGGGATCAGGAGTTCTATCTAACAGGCCACATCCTGTCTTAAATAAATAAATAAACAGAGCTGGGCATGGTGGCACGTGTCTTTAATGCCAACACTTCAGAGGCAGAAACAGGTGGATCTCTGTGAGTTCAAGGCCAGCCTGGTCTACGAGTGAGTTCCAAGTCTCTAAAAGCCACAGCGTAAAGAAGGAGGGAGGGAGGATAAGAGGAAGGAAGGGATTCTTTCAAACCATAAAAATATTAATGGATAAGTTTGTAATTTTGTTTGGATTTCTCTTTTTTTAATTTTCATTTATTTATTTTGATGGCTGACTTGCTCAGGCTGATCTGGAACTCATAGATTCATCTGCCTCTGCCTCCCCAGTACTGGACTAAAGGCATGCACCACCACCAAACTGTGTGGATTATTTAGAGTACAGTCAGACTCTAGCCAAATGTGTGATCTGCTGCCTCTTGTATATTCTGCCCGCCTGTGCCTGACATTTCTAATGTCATTCTTCCTCCTCAGACCGCTACTTGATGAACCCATTCCACTGTATGAGGCAAAAGCTTCCATGGAAGTTGTTCAGAAAAATCAAGAAAGAAAAAAGCAAGTTGTTCAATTTTAATTTTCTTTCCCAGACCTCAGTTGGATGCACCCATACCAGTATATGAAGCCAGTTTTCTTTGGAAATTGTTGAGAAAAATCAAGGAAGACCAAACAAGTTTTTCTATTTTTAAGCCTGTTTTCCTGCCATAATAAGATGTTTGGTTATTTGACATATTTGAAAAATACTTACAAAATTAATGTGCAAACAATCCAGTTTTTTTTTAACATCTGAAAGGGATATACCAAAACCCTTATTGCTATTGCAGCTATACATTTGCCTCTGCTTTAACATTCTTTCCATAAAGAAAACTGCTTTCAGCAAGAGCCACACTATTCTGTCAGTACATCCTCACAAGCTTTTGCTATACCATGAAAATGTTATTTGCTTTTGTATCAACTCCATTCTCAACGCCTTCCTTAACAAGCCTTTGCTGCCATTATTTTAGCATTTGAGTGTATTTTCCGATTTCAGAGTAATCCATTGGCATTTAAAATTTGTTTTTAAATACTCATTCACTCTGAATTTCTCCAGGATCATACAGAATCATAGTACCTGGTCATGTTACAGTGGCATAGCATTTGCATAGAGGGCTGGGGTAGTCGGGCACGGGGGACAAGAATGGAAGTGTTGGCTTGAGTCTAGCTTTAAGCTCTATGGATGCTCAGAGCAGTGGGATGCAGCAAGGCCTCAGCCCTCACCGCCTCTCTCAGAATGACACTGCCGCTTCTCTCAGAGAGGCGCTGCCCATCACCACAGTTCAAGTGTGCTGTTTGCTTTGCACTCGGACTCCGTAGCTAGGGCTGACGCCGTCCCCGCTGCAGACTAAAGTAGTGGCGACCCCTTTTCGTGCCCTCCGGGGTGAAGCGCGCTGGTGACGTTTTCTCGGCGACGCCCCGCCTCGCGGCAGAACTGCTAGGGGTGCGCTCCCGGCCGGAAGCAACCACCGACAAATCTGTTGGGCGGGGTGGGACGACCAAGGGCGCATGCTCCAA